TTTCTTTAAGAAGTGCTTGATGAACCAGACTGTAGTAAATATGTGGGCCGCTCCAAGCAACAGCCTGTTGGACCAAGCTCTCACAAGTCAAGCCTGGCTCTGGGCAAGACTTGGGGAGTAGAACTCCCAGGACCTCATCAAGGTACAATCAAAGGTGTTGGTCTTGCTCTTTTGTCTTGTTTTATAGTTCCCATTGGGCTTAAATTATCTTTCTCAAAGCTGTGTTGGCTCTTGCCTCTGGCTGTAGGGGTTGAAGATCTTCTGATTGTAATCTGGAGGGAAGGTTTTGTTCCTTTGGCCTTGGTGGGCAGTTTGTTCATTTGCAGAATTCTCCAACTTTTCTGGCAGAGAATGAGTTTGCTAGCTTTCAGAGGGGTTCATTGATATTTTATGCTTGTTTGGTCTGGCCAGGGGTGCATTGCTTATTGTCTACTGGCAGCTGTTCGCTGCTACCTAATGGTAACCAGTTTTGACTCGGTGGACGCCATATTGGTTTTTATTTATATTTTTTTATTTAAAAAATTTATGTATAAGAGTTCTTACATTCTTGTACAGCCACTAGTACGTGTAGCATTTCAGGGCAAGTCCTTAATCCGATGTCCCTGGAATACGACCCCGCAAAAAATCATTTAATAGCCAGGTACTCATTTTACTGTTGAGTTAAACAGAGGCTACAGTTGAGGATATGCGTCCAGTAAATCCTCCCCGGTCAGGATACGAACCCAATACAAAGCACTCGCGAAATGCTAGGCGAGCGTCTTGACCACTACACCACGCACCACGGGGACTACCAACTGTTTGACTGTTTCCTTGTTCCCCTATTCCAATGTTCATGTATGGCAGGTTAGTTAACTTCTTGAGGTTCTCCAGATATGGTTTCGGGGCTTAGCGTCCCCGCAGCCCGGTCCTTGACTAGGCCTCTTTTTTTTTTTTTTTTTTTTTTTTTTTTTTTTTTTTTTTTTTTTTTTATTTCCCCCCCCTAGAAAACAGCCCATAGCAGTTGTCTAATTACCAGGTACCTATTTACTGCTAGGTGAACAGGTGCATCAGGGTGTAAGATACTCTGCCTGTTTGTTTCTGCCTCCACTGGGGATCGAAGCCTGAACCTCAGGACTATGAATCCCGAGCGCTGTCCACTCAACTGTCAGATCATTCGCAGTATCATAAAATCTAGCCTGCCTTCGGTCTACCTTCATGCCTGTGATGTTTACAAGTATGCTGCATTGGCTGCAGTCTTCGCCAACATACCCTGGGTTGATATTTGGTATTGGAGCGTTTGGCATTTTAACAGGGCTCTAGCGGCCCAGGATTTGGTTTATATTCCTGGTTCCTGTCAGTCTAGTGTTGCCTTGGGCCATGGCTCCTGGCCTAGATCCTATAGTTTGTGTGTACTGCCTCTCCTCCTCCCAGGTAAGTCCTGTTTTAATTCTCTGTAGTTAGCTTCAGGGAGCCATTAGGACTTCCTCCAGAAACCCAGCATTGAATGTAATGGAATGGCTCTTTCTGGATGAGTCCCCGGTGGCTTTCTGGTTCCCCTCCTCGCTACCAGGCTAGTCGGTTCTTGGGTATGCTGTTCATCTGCTCCAGAGCTGGCTAGCAATGTGGCTGCGAGCCAAAGCTGGGACGACTGGTGGTGGCATACAGCACTATGAATTTTGCAGTAATATATATTTAAATTAATTATTTAGCTGTTTGGCATTTTTGAGGTTTTGGTATTTGTTAACTCCAGTTGGCTGTAAAGTTTCACTGACTCTGGATGCTCTTCTCCATATGGTGGTGAATTGATACTTGCTCTCAGTGCCTCTGTGAAGGTAGGCCATGTTTTGGCTCTGGTTCCTGGTAGGCCAAATAGAACTCCAACATCTAATGTAACCCCTTTGTCAATCTCAGCGAGATATCTTCAGAGAGCCTCAGGCTCTCTAAAGATATCAGAAAGAGGTCAGGTCCTTGGTCAGAAAGAGGCATTTCATTACATTCAATGCTTAGTTTATTGCACTTCTTGACAGCTGCATTGTGTGATTACTTTTTATGTTGTTAGAGAATGATCTCCAGCCCCTGAGCTTGGAGAGTTTTCTCCCAACTTTCATGAGCTATGCAATATCTATTTGAAACTGTAAATGGAGTTGGCCTTCATTGTCACCTCTTCCTGCTCCCTGTTTTTATCCTGTACCTGACTCGTCAGAACAACCAGAATTTTGTTTCTGGGGAAATCCCTGTTGGCTTCCTGAAGCTGCTATTTCTGATTCAGTGCCATACAATTAGGTGCCATCAGTCAGAATTTTATTGGCCTACTGGAGACCATAACCCATCTGGCCCCTCTCAGAGCTCACCAGGAAGAGATGGCCTATGAACACTTTACATTTAATCATAATTGCCACCACCAGGAAAGGCACCCAGAACGATAGGCGAACCAGAACAGACGACTGCATGGTTAAAATATGAAATCGCAGCCCTAAAATGCCGAAAGAACTCTGCCAATAATGAAAACTTACCACCAAAAATCGGAACTCGACCATGGTTCAGTCTGCATCTTCTCTTCCTTCCCTGGTGAGCAAAGTTCACTCTTCTCCCCACCCACTTCTGGCTCTGAAACATCTGAGGGTTTTCGAATTGGTGTTGGGTGTAGCTTGGGATGTGGCTTGAGCAGTTTTGGGGTTTGCCCGTTCTGATGCAGGCAGTTGAGCTTCTCGATCTCGCAGAAGCTTCTGGGTCCTCCCAGCTGAGCCCTTCCTTTGAGGATTTTCCCTTGTTCTAAACTTTTCCATCCTGGGCAGTGGGCATGGATGAGAGCTTTGCTCTTGGGTCATCTTCTGTGGTTCCCGTGGCTCGTGGCGGGAGTCTGAGTGGAGCTCCTGGGTTCAGTTTGACCCTTTGTGGGCTCTCATGCCTTCTGTGAAGGGTCTTTTGTTGCAGGTCGAGGGTTTTTTTACCCCTCCTTTGCTGTATGAGTTTGAGTTGGGTGTGGTTCCAAACCTGCAGGGGTTCATTTCCATGTGCCTTTGTGTTCTTTGTATTTGTCCTTGAGGTTTCCTTCTTCTTGGGTTACTCCAACAGAAGCTCGGGAGGCCCTTGGGGCTTACCTCTTACGTGCCCTGGACTGTGCCTCAGGTATGGATCCGGTCTCTTGAGTTTGGGTCTTCCTTTCCTTTTTGGGTGTGTTATGAGGTTCCAGAGTCATCCTGGTTGGTGGACTGTTCTTTGCTGTCCCTTGGGGCAAAACAATGGACAGTCCACGTGCCTGCATCAGAAGGACAGTCCTCTGTTTTCACAGACGCCTCGGCTGTTGGTTGGGGCTTTGTGACCAGCGTTCACCAGTCAGGCGAGGGTCGCTGGGGTTCTTTACCTTTGTCAGGCAGTTTGTGGCTGAAGTTTGCGGCTGTGTGGTATGTGCTGCAGAGACTTTGGATTCTCCTGTGCTCAGTGATCTGGATCCATTCGGAATGTTCCTTTGTAGTTCATTGCCTCAACTAGGGGGAATCTCTTTGGTCTGTGGCTCTTTGGGGCTGGTCGCTTTGAGTGGGTTGTCCTCCTGGGTTCTCGGGGTTTGCATCTTCGTGCCATTCACATCCAGGGGAGTGTGCAACATCCTGGCTGACAGTCTGTCCCGATTTCTTCCCTTTCTACTGAATGGACCGTCAATGCCGATTCCTTCCTCTGCCTTTGCTGGATGTTCAGGCACCCGCACGTTGACCTCTGTGTCAGCGTGGTCTCAATGTCTGTCCCGTTACATGGTGTTGTTTCCCGACTGCGAGGCCTTTGCGGTAGACGCCTTTTGGCTGGACTGGTCGAGATGGGGGTTCCTTTACCTTTTTTTTTTCGAGTCTGGCTGTTGCTTTGGGTGCTGGCACATCTGTAGTCCTACAGGGGAGAGTAGTTCTTCTGGCTGCTTGGCGGCCAGCCCAGCCTTGGTTTTAGGTGCTGTTTGCTCGGTGTTTGAGTAAAAAAAATTCTGCAGCTCTGCCTCTTTCAGAAGGTCTAATGGGGGGACGTACCTTGCTGGTTCGAAATTCTCTTCCTTTCTGTGTGTCTGGACTCTTTGATGCGTATTTATCACAATCTGTATGGTAATCAGGTAGGTGGGTTAATGGTGTCCTACCTACAGTCTTCTTCCCGGCAACAGTTTGAGGTTTCTTGGCACTTTCTCTCCCTCCGTCATTGCTCTTCGGTTTCCGAGCGGGTTGCTTTGTCCATTGTTTCTTGCTTGTTTCTTGGTCGGGATCTGATGCCAAATACTATACAGTACTGTCGTCTCTTATCGTGCAGCGGAGGCACTCGGATTAAACTCGGAGTACTGGACATCGCCTGATGTTCAGGCGATGTTCAGTACTCCCTGATAAGTGCCCTTTCTTGTCCTTCTCTGTGGGTAGTTAGCTTCACGAAGCCGATGGTGCTACCACCAGAAAGTGTTGAATGTAATGAAATGCCAATTTCTGGGTGAGCCCTGGAGGCTCCCTGACACTCTCCCTACCCCAGGGCATCAGTGTGTTTCATCATCATAGATCTGATGGTGGGACTGGCTGGCCAGTCCAGTACGCATCCCTCCTACCCCTAAATGAGGGAAAAGATGGGGCAAATTTGGTGCTTTAGGTTTATGGAATTTTGGTGGTTTGTTTTCATTGTTGGGGGAGTTCTTTTGGCATTTTAGGGCTGTGGTTTCACTTTTTAACCATGCAATAGTCTGTTTTGGTATACCTATCTTTCTGGGTGCCTTCCCCAGTAGTGGCAATTATGATTAACTTTAAATGTAAACTGTTCATATGCAATCGATCCCTGTGCCTCTTGGGGGGGGGGGGGGCAGATTCTGGCTCGTGGTTCCCGGTAGGCCAATAGAACTCCGCAACTGATGGCTCCCAATAGTATGGCACTGAATCATTGATAGTAGTTTCAGGAAGCCTCTGGGGCTCACCCAGAAATTGGGGTTTCATTACATTCCTAATTTTTTTTTTTTTTTTTTTTTTTTTTTTAATTGTAATCAGTAATTTCAATATGTTCATTTCTAGGATGCTTGGAGATGACTCGTATAGTGAATCTGAATTAGAAGTTCCTACAGCGGCTGGTATTATTCCCCGCTTTTGTCGAGATCTCTTGCACCATGCTGATTATTTACACTCTCTGAATCCACCAGAAAGCCAAGTAGGTGTCTACTTATTATTGCAGTACTGTCCTTTTCTCTGGTAGTATCCAATAGTTACGGTAAGTTTCTTATACAGATGCTTTCCAGACTTGAAAGACATATTTTTACAGTGTGCTTAATTGGTTTCAAGTATCACAATTTCAGTTTATAATTTTGTTACTAATAAGTCAGAAATTTATGGAGAATTATTTATTGCATTAGTGTTTGGTTCGTGGTTGTAAGTCACCAGTGACACAATATCTGTGGTGCCAATATTGCTGGATGAAACTCTACACCTGAAATACTAGTTCTTCAAATGCACTGTAACATGCTGATATATGGAAGAGCTCTAAGAAGACAGTCGGAAAAAACAAATATTCCTGCACTTGCTCTCTCAATAGCTGCCCTGAGCTTTATAACACTGGCACAATATAGACTAAATGGGCAAGCCAGTCCCATGACTCTCCTCACTGTGGACAATTACCTTTTCAAATCATCTTGTTCTGAGTGTACTCACCTAGTTGTGCTTGCTGGGGTTGAGCTTTGGCTCTTTGGTCCCACCTCTCAACTGCCAATCAACTGGTGTATACATTCTTGAGCCCAAAGGGCTCTATCACATCTACATTTGAAACTGTGTATGGAGTCTGTTTCCACCACATCACTGCCTAATGCATTCTATTTGTTAACTACTGACACTGAAAAAATTCTTTCTAATGTTTCTGCTGCTCATTTGAGTACTACGTTTCCACCTGTGTACCCTTATTCTTGTTCCACCAGTGCTAAAGAGTTTGTCTTTGTCCACCCTGTCAATTCCCCTGAGAATGTTTGTTGGTGGTGGTGGTGGTGGTGTTGTAATTACTTAAGTGTAGCTACAGGATGAGAGCTACGCTCGTGGTGTCCCGTCTACCCAGCACTCTTGTCATATAATGCTTTGAAACTACTGACGGTTTTGGCCTCCACCACCTTCTCACCTAACTTGTTCCAACCGTCTACCACTCTGTTTGCAAAAGTGAATTTTCTTGTATTCCTCCGGTAGTGTTGTTTTGTTAGTTTAAATCTATGACCTCTTGTTCTTGAAGTTCCAGGTCTCCGGAATTCTTCCCTATCGATTTTAGTGATCATATCACCTCTCTTTTTTTTCTTCTATCTTCTAGTTTGGCATATTTAATGCCTCTAACCTCTCCTCGTAGCTCTTGTCCTTCAGTTCTGGGAGCCACTTAGTGGCATGTCATTGCACCTTTTCCAGTTTGTTGGTGTGCTTCTTAAGATATGGGCACCATACAATCGCTGAATATTCCAGCTTTGGTCTAACAAAAGTCGTGAACAATTTCTTTAGTATTTCTCCATTCATGTGTTTAAAAGCAATTCTGAAGTTAGAAAGTGTAGCATAGACTCCTCGCACAATGTTCTTAATGTGGTCCTCGGGTGCCAGTTTTCTATCTAGAACCACCCCTAGATCCCTTTCTTTGTCAGAATTCTTTAAAGATTTCTCACATAATTTATAGGTTGTGTGGGGTCTATGTTCTCCAATTCCACATTCCATAACATGGCATTTATTCACATTAACACTTTCGCGCTCTCGGCGCTCAAAAAAAACAATACCCCAGATGCTTTCGGCACTTCGCGCACCTACGCGGTAAGACCGAAAAGTGTACACTCTTTTGACTGTCCTGACAATAATTGAAGGTGCACGTATTTAAATTTGGTATCACTGTGTTCGCAATGAAATTGTCTATAAGAGCATACCTATAAAATGCATAAGGAGTATCAACACCAAATAAAAAACTATGCAGATCACTTGCCGAGAGCGCCAAACAGCAACAAAATGTTTCCACTCTCTTAATGGTTGCGAAGCCTACAGTTGTCCTACATCGCTAAGTTTGGTATCATTGGAATCGCAATAAAATTCTCTACACGGACATATGCATATGAATGTTTAATATAGGTAATTGCCCACCCGCAAGAGTGTGTGAAGTGGAGAGTAGTTAGCCGCGAGCGCACTGGCGAAAACACAGGGGGGAAATCATGCTTGGAAAGTTTATACGTTTCCTGACCCTACTTTTCAATGTACGTATTTCTTTTTTATACCAATGTGTTCGCAATAAAATTTTCTATAAGATGAACTGTATAACATTTGTACAAAGCATGTGTAAGAGAAGCGCCAAATATAGAACCACGTCGCTCAGTATGCGTTCGCGGCAGAAACGAACGCATTGTTTTCGTTCGTTTGATGTTTGTCATGTTTATACTTGTTGAAACATTTTATAATTTGTATGACAGTGATCGCAGTAAAATTCCCTACACAGACATATACATAACACATACAAATATTTCCCACGTGTTAAATATATATCAACGGCTAAAGGGAACCCACTGCCACACGCCCGCCACACCCAGAGCCACACCCGCCACACCCCCAAACATACTTTGTGTATTTTTTTTTTTACTCATAGAAGTTTATGTGATATAATGTTCATTCTGGTACCAAAAAATTCGCAAATAAATTATCTACGAAACAAAAGTATCCCCATCCATTTCGGTTAAAAAATGGAATTTATAGAAATATTTTTTCGATGGACGAGAAAAGTAGGCTGTTATGCGGAATCATAAGAAAAAACGGCGACGAGTTATCTCTAATCTAAAGCGCGAAAGTGTTAAATTCCATTTGCCAAGTGATGCTTCATATACTTATTTTGTCTAGGTCTTCTTGAAGGGCATGACAATCATCTAGGTTTCTTAACTTCCTGATTATCTTAGCATCATCAGTAAACATGTTCATATAATTCTGTATTCCAACTGGTAGATCGTTTATGTAGACAATGAACATTACTGGTGCAAGAACTGAACCCTGTGATACTCCACTTGTGACATTTCTCCAGTCAGATACATTGCCTCTGATTACGGCCCTTATTTTTCTGTCGGTTAGGAAATTTTTCATCCATGTTAGAAGCTTACCTGTCACCCCTCCAATATGCTCCAGTTTCCAGAACAACCTCTTATGTGGAATTCTGTCAAAAGCCTCTTTTAGGTCCGGATAGATGCAGTCAATCCAACCATCTCTCTCCTGTAATATCTCTGTGGCTCGATCATAAAAACTGAGCAAGTTTGTTACACAGGATCTTCCAGATCGAAAACCATACTATCTGTCTGATATTTTATCGTTTATCTCCAGGTGTTCTACCCAGTTTTAATTATTTTTCCAATATTTTGATTATTACACTTGTCAATGATACAGGTCTATAATTGAGGGGGTCTTCCCTGCTTCCACTTTTGTAGATTGGAACTATGTTAGCCTTTTTCCACACATCAGCTACAACTCCTGTACACAGGGATGCCTGAAAGATCAGTTGAAGTGGAATGCTGAACTCTGGTGCACATTCTCTCGGAACCCATGGTGAAACTCCATCTGGACCAACTGCTTTGTTCTTTCTTAGCTCCTTGAGCATTTTTTCACTTTGTCTCTAGACACCTCTGTGCTCTATGTTGTTCTCTGGAATTCTTATTGTGTCTGGTTCCCTGAAAATTTCATTTTGTAAAAACACTTTGGAACTTTTCGCTTAATGTTTCACACATTTCCTTTTAATTTTCCGTGAATCTATTTCCCATTTTCAACCTCTGAATATTATCCTTTACCTGCAATTTGTTGTTTATGAATTTATAGAATAGACCTGGTTCTGTTTTACATTTGTCTGCAATCCCTTTTTCAAAATTTCTTTCTGCCTGTCTCCTCACTGCTGTTTAGTTGTTTCTCGCATCTTTGTATCGCTGGTATGTTTGGGGGTTTGGCCTCTTCCTACATTGATTACATTTTTGTCTTTTGGTGTCTGGCCCTCTCGCAATTTCTGTTGAACCAATCCTGTTTCCTAGTCCTGCATATCTGCTTTGGTATAAAAATTTTTGTGCCTTTATCATATATTTCACAAAACTTGACATACATCTCATATACTTCCTTGACTAGCAACACGTCTGTCCAATTATACTCACTAAAAAAAATTGTAAGGTCGCCATAATGTTCTCCTGAAGTCAGGTTTTTCAACTGCTTCAACCTCCCTATTTTCTTCCAGATTATAATACATTGCATACTTTATTCCCAAAAAGACATGGTCGCTTTTACCCAAGGGAGGAAGGTACTGAATGTCAAATATCTCTTCCTCCTTCCTGGTAAATATCAAATCTAGCATGGAGGGAACGTCCCCCTTCCTTCATCCTCATAGCTTGTTTAACATGTTGATACAAGAATGTTTCCAGGATGCGGTCTACAAATCTACAGATTCAAAAATTCTCTGTTCTAGCTTCATATGCTTCCCAGTCTATGGATTTCAAGTTGACGTCGCTGACTATCAAGTCTTGATCTATCTTTATCCGCTCTTGCTATAATCTCTCTCATTATTGTTACAAGAACCTCTCGTTTACTATCTAGATCCTCCTTTGTCCATGTGTTGCTTGGTGGTGGACTATATGCATTTATGATCATTAGTTTATCATCTTCATGGCAGATTTCTAGTGCTATAACGTCAACTTCTCGTGGATTGGCAATCATTACTTTGTTCACCTTTAGGTGTTCTTTCACCAGCACAGCAATGCCACTACCTTTCCTAATTTTTCTGTCCCTTCTCCAAACTGAGTAGCCCCTTGGGAATATGACTTCATTTAAAATAACATCTTCAAGTTTTGTCTCTGTGAGTGTAACAATGTCTGGTGTCTGCAGCTGTATTACATCACTTAACTCCAGTCTCTTCGATCTCGCTCCATCTATATTGGTGTATACTATTTTCAGGAACATGTTTCCCCTCTCCTTATTCTTCACTACCCCTCTCTCTAGCAGTTTTGTTGGTTTGCCTTTTTGTATCATTTTACTGGCCTGCCTACCTCTATCACTTTGTAGAAAAAAAAAATTGATTTCTTCTTCGTTTCTGCTTTCATTTAGATGTTTTGTCTCTACGAGGTTTAGTTTCAGCTTCTCTGTCTTCTCTTGAAAGATCTCGTTTTAACAACCACACCTTCCCATCCTCATCACTTT